GTGGGGTGTTTTCAGACTGAAAAAAAAAAAAAAAAAAAAGAAAAGAAAAAGAAGGGCAGGTATGGCAGTTAGAGAAGTCAGTATAAAAAAAAAGAAGGAAAGTGCAGCTATAGCAGTCTCTCCTTATCTTCAGATTTGCTTTCTGTCTTTTCAGTTAGCCATGGTCAAATGCAGTCCAACATATTAAATAGGAAGTTCCAGAAATAAACAATCATGGGCTTAAATTGTATGCCATTCTAGATAGTGCGATAAAATCCCACACCATCCTGCTTTGTTCCACCTAGGACATGATTCATCCCTTTGTCCAGCGTATCCATGCTGTATATACTACCCACCCAGTAGTCACGTAATAGCCATCCTGGTTATCAAATTGAAAAAACATAGAATTTGGTACTATCTGAGGCTTCAGGCATCTACTGGGGGTCTTGCAATGTACACCCCATTAAGATGGAGGGGGGACTATTGAACTCAAATGTACGTCATTAGGTTCAAGGGCTGAAAGGAAGAATGTGAGACTGCAGAATACCCACATAGTACCTGATGACAGACTTCCAGTAAAGGGACCCAATCTTCAGGTTCTTTTCCTTATTCATTACTTCTAATCAAAGCAAGTTGCAAGGCCTGCCTAACATCTCATCAAGCAACAGAAAGCTTCTTTCCTTGGGAGAAGCTAGTAGAGATCTTTCCTTATGCCCTCTTACTACAAAGAATCCAGTTTTCTCCTGAAGTTTCTGCTATTGGCGAAGACTTGCAAAGGCTGTGAAGATGGAGTACAAAGACTATGGCACTTAGAATGACCTATCAGCCTGTGTCCTTTACAACCCTAAGTTTCCCATTCCTTGTCTGGAAAATGTGATAGGAAGAATAAATAAGCAAACAAAAGTGATTCTAAATTTCTAAAAAGGCTTCTTTCTTCTACTTCCTTCTTTTCTCTCTTTGTTCTATTATCAGAAAAGTCATGATGTATTTTTCTATGAAAAAAATGCATCATGATTTTTTTTCAACAACCCAATAATTAAATGGTAAAATAGTAAACTGGTCCACTTGATTGATATATATATCTGAGATTAATTCATGCATTTAAAAATGACTAGTAAAGTTAAGTTTAAAAACATGCACACATCAATTTCAGGAAGACACCCTGTGCTTTCTCTGCTGCCAATTTGGTAGAGGAATGCAGAATCGGCATCCTGGTCCCAGACAGCACCAACTGCCATTTTCCAGCTAATGCTTTCTCAGAAGACAATGCTTTCCTTTCCAAAATGTTTACTATTTGCTCAGAACAGTGATGGCTAGATCTTCATTTGATTCCTTATGTGAACAGTTTCTTATGTTATTTCTCCAGTAGAATGCACAATTTTGTCAAGCCACCTGGTTTCTTTGTTGCATTAATAAAGACTTAAAATATCACCCAACCTTGGTCTGAAAGTTCTGTAATACCATACCATTAGGTAGCTTAGTGGTCTAATGGCCACTATTAATCTCATTAACTAAACATGAAACCTGTTCAATACTGCCCCAGTAGTGGTCAAATTCTTATGAATTTATAACTTTATCAATTATAGTTCAGAGATGTTAGCTTGGCTCAGTCCTTACTAGTTGAAGCTCCCTGATTTTATTGTCAAGCTGGAAACTGCTACTACAGTGTTCAAAGCACATCATACTCACAAGTCACATCTTGTTATCAGTCATAGCCACATGACAGACCAAGTCTCATTTGTTCTTGTTTAAATTTTATTAATAGTAGTAGTAGCAAATCAATAGAAAGAGGGTAACAGAAAAATTCATGATAAAGAACTTCTTATGAGTTAAAATACATGCATAGCCACACATCCTCCCCACTTTCTGTCCTTCTGTACGAACAAAACAATCCATAGAACAATGTGAGTGGCTGATACCACAGTTTGAACAAAGGGCCCCAGTTGTGCAATGTCTCAGGCTGATTGCCAGTCTAGATCACCAGCTTCTCCACGCTAAGTGTACTTGTGGTTTCATCCTCTTCATTTGACCCAAAGTATCCTGGTAGGTCCAGCATCCTCTGCTCAGCCTCAGTGAGGCCAAATGATGTGTTGTCATAGAAGGCAAACTCAGGGTGGGCTGGGAAGCTCTGACACTTGTCTTTTCTACATTGAGAAGGGCTCAGAGGACTGACCCTCTGGTAGGTATCTTTGGGGGAGGAAGGGGATGACTGCTTCCTTGAGACACTCCTGTGACTAGGGGATGGTCCCCTCCGAGCTCTAGGAAGCTCTGTTCTCTCCACTCCTGCCACTGACCCTACCTGGCGATCCCCCAGCTCTGGCTTCCTCGAGGGTTGCCCCAAGGAGTAGGATTTAGGAAGAGGATTTAATGGGCCATTGGTTCCACCTGTCCCTTGGAAATGCTCAGGAAATAGGTGAGCCCCTCGACTCTGAGGCCTAATTCTGTCCTCTGCTTGGTCCCAGGTCCTCACCCTAGAACTGTAGGTGGGAGCCTGCCGAGGAGTCAGCGTGGACATGCTCCTCTCCCTGAATGGCCGGGCCTGTTTGGTTTCATGAAAACTAGCTGTCCTCCTGAAATGGGAATTCCTGGGGTGGCTCCTCTCTGATGGGCCCCCTCTGTTGCTCGCATGCCTCATCTGTGACTTGCGAATCAGGGTTTGGCTAGGGCTTATAGCACAACTAGGCTGAGATGAACTGAAATCCAGCCTGGAGGGAGGCCTTTCTCCGGCACTAACCACAGGCTGGTCTGGGAATGGGGATTTGATCCGGAACTTATTTGCTGCAGCTTCTTCTGCACTTTCCAAGTCTAAGGGGGGACCAGTGGCAGCATCCATGGCTGTGTCTGTCAGGGGACTCTGTGACACATGGTACACTTTGGTAGTTTCTGTCAGGCCTTTCTTCTTCATCTCCTTCAACTGCTGCTGGGCAAGGCGGTAGCTAAAGAGAGGGGGAATTATCTTCTGGGCGTTGGACTGGAAGCTCTCACTGCCAGAAGCGTCATCCTCAGGAGTCACCGGCACACTTCGCCTGAAGGTCAGAGGAATGCCCACATCCCCCGGGCTTCCCATGGGGCCATCACCCCCATCTGAAAAGCTCCCACGCTGCTCACTCAGCTCACAGATGTTCTCCTCATCTGAGTTTTTCCGGAAGGCAGGGGAGTGGATGGAATTGTGTCGAGCAGGGGTGCTGCACTTAGGGGGGCGGCCGAACCTCCTCCACAGTGTGATAAGCACGGTGGCAATGATGATGAACAAGCACAGGGATATCCCAGTGACTGTCACGATGTTGTTAGACTTCACTGGACCCTGGGGCTGAAGAGGAGATGGGCTGGATGGCCAGAAAGCTGCAAATAAGCAAATACATAAATAAGGAAGAACAAATGTATTCCCTAGTATTGTTTTCTCTGTGTGGTTTCAAGGTCTCTGATGTCTCACTCTAATTATCAAGCACTTACAGAAAGAAGAAAAATGAGCAGGCGTGAGATTTCTGGTCTTACATCTGAATCTCTACTGGCAGCTGAAGTCAAACCGGGTCACCACTAGTGGGGAAACACTGCAAGATCGGAGACTACACAAGCAGGGCAACCTGCTGTACTTGCCACCTCCTACTGACAGTTGTATCAGATTTTCTACATAAAAGGAACATGCAGAAAATTTCAAGGTAAAATCAAGGTTTTCACTTGTGATAATGAAAACATGGGATATCTGTAAAAGCGCCTATGGGAGGCACACTGGGAAATTCTCACCACATATGAAGTTTTTCTTTTTCTTTTCTTTTTTTTTTTTGGAGAGGTTTTTGCTATAGGGCACATGTGCTCACCAGAAAGACAGAGAGAGAGAAAGCGAGAAATCACCCCCCGGGGAGATGGCCACGCCGCAATTCCTTCTCCTCCATTCTCCTCTCAGGATCTTGGGCATGCACACACATGCGCCTGGCCTGAGTTTAAGCCGCCGGGTCCAGGACTCAAACCACAGTCAACTACATGGGAGTCCAGTGACATAACCATTACACTGACTGCTGGTCCCCTACATATGAAGTTTGAAATGCAAAATGATTTAGACAGGTTGTGCAACAAATGCTCTACAGGCCACCCTTCTCAGGGGGATCATCCCTCTCTAGCAATTATCTCCAGCTTCACTTCAATGTAGCTCTTTTTCCTCAGCACAAAAAGATATTCAAACTCTGGGGCCAGCAGGTGGCACAGTAGTTAAAGGCACTGGACTCCCACATGGCTGACTGTGGTTCAAGTCCTGAACCTGGTGACTTGCTTTCTCACTTACCCTCTCTCTCTCTCTCTCTCTCTCTCTGTCCAAACTAGAAAATAATAGTAATAACAATAATAAAGTTAAATAATTCTTATTCTTATTCAATACTCAAGTATTGATAGAAGTCTGAATCCTGGCCCTGGTGGTTTGAAAAGCATGCCAGATGTGTCTGTGCCCCAAATCCCAACAGGATGGAGAAATGGAGGAGAAGGGACTGCAGTATAGCCATACCCCATTGGGCACTGCTTTCTCTCTGTGTCTTTCCAATAAGTGTATGTACCCTCTGGAAACTTTTTTAAAAAGACCTTTCTCCAATGCTTTCACACTGCCATAGCCATATTTTGCTCCTTGTCTTGCCAAGGTTTGGACAGCTAAAATAAAAGACATCCTACCTCACAGCATTGGCTACTGTGAGGCACTTCTTACAACTTTCTCACCTTCTTGGTTTTGATGCTAACACTCATTTGGGTGATTAAGAGAACTCTGGAGACAGGGAGCTCTAAATCCCATTTCTGGCTCTACCAGCTCTGCTGTCTCTATCAGATTTCCTACCCCATCCTTCTCAACACATTCAAGACTCATCATCCTGGGACCAGCAGTTAGCGTAATGGCTATGTCGCTGGACTCCCACGTAGTCGACTGTGGTTCAAGTCCTGGACCCGGTGGCTTAAACTCACGCCGGGCGTGTGTGCGTGCGTTCCCAAGATCCCGAAAGGAGAATAGAGGAGAAGGGATTGTGGCGTGGCCATCCCCCCTGGGGGGTGATTTCTCACTTTCTGTCTCTCTGTCTCTGTCTGTCTGGCGAGCGCACGCGCCCTATAGCAAAAACCTCTCCAAAAAAAAAAAAGACTCATTACTCCTCTTCCCCCCCAGAACACATGCCTCCTCGGATAGATCCAATCCAATCTCAAAGGAATGACACAGCAGTCCATGCAATTGTCAGTACAGGTTAAATATCCCTAATACAAAAACCAGAATTCAAAATGCTCCAAAATCTGAAACTTTCTGAGTACTGATGTGACAACATGAGTGGAAAATTACACACCTGACCTCCTATGCTAGATCATAGTCAAAACACTGCAATTAAAATTATCTACAGGCCATGTGTATAATGCATATATGAAACATAAATGAATTTTGTGTTTAGCATTGGGTCCCATCCCCATGACATCTCATTATGTGTATGCGAATATTCCAAAATCTGAAAAAAAATCATGATCTTAAACGCTTCTGGTCCCCAGCACATTTGGAAAAAGAGATACTCAACCTGTACTATTGATAGCATGCTAGGTTTCATCTTCATCACTCGCCACATCCAGAGTCTTTGAATCCCTCTGTCCCTGCATCCCCACAACTCCATTTTCCACATGGGTTACTGAAAAACTCTTAACAGGTATGTCTACTGTAACACTTACCTTTCTGATTTGTATCCCAAGCTAACAGCCAAAGATTCCTTTAAAACACAGGTCCAAACCTTCAACCTCTCAGGGGCCTACCTGTACAGCCTTGTCTTTCTCACTCCCTCCTGGTACAATATCCTACAGACACACTAAATTATTTCCAATTATGTGGGTCTTATAATGTGCCATCTTCTGTCATGTTCATTCATTTCTCCATTTGCTAAAATTCCCATTCTTACTTAGTTCACCTGAGTTATAATTTTGCAGTATTTCAATTTCAGGTCAAGAATCACCTCCTCCAATAATGGAGATGTTCTCAGCATGGATTATCACCTTTGCAAATTTCTGTAACAAGCTGTGGACACCTTTATCATTGCAGGCTATAACATACTGTGTATTATGCTTATGTGTCAAGAGAATATATGTTCCCCACACCAGCCATAGTAACTTGCACATAGTTGGTACTCAATAACTGTAGTTTAATTCACTGATTCACTCATTATTAAAAAGATAAAAGTAAAATAACCAATATTTACCAGATGAAACGTAGGTGTGACAGCAAATGGATCTTCCTACTCTCTCGTTGAACAAAACAGACCAAATTACTATAGAGTTACACTCAGACCTTGGCATAAAAACATTCTTTCAAAGCCAAACAAAACTCTAACTCTCAAATTAATGAAAACAGTGGAATGATGAAAGGCTTATTCCCTGATTTATCACTGCTTTCACCTGTAGTGGCTGCTGCTGATAGTGGGTACAAGCATTGCTATTACATATGATGAACCTCTTAACTATGTTAACTTTTTTAAAAGAATTATTTTATTTAACTTATTTATTTATTTACTTATTTATTTGCTTTAATTTGACCAAAGAGAGATAAAGCTAGAAAGAGAGAGACAGAAAGTGAGAAAGCAAGCCACTAGGTCCAAGACTTGAACTGCAGTTCCATGTGGGAGTCTAGTGCCCTTAACCACCACGCCACCTGCCAGCTCCAGCTCTGTTAAACTTTTGAGCCTGGCCGGAAAAAAAGCCTCAAAGCTGCTGTCCCAATGTTAAAGAATTAAGCTGTCAGAACATTAAGAAATATCACATTTCTCAAAAATAATTGCTAATTCCAGGTTGTTATGACTTCTTTTAAACAGACAGTTCAGTCAGTGCATCAAGGCAAAGAATTCGAGATAGGTACTTTAGTATGGTCAGTTCTATTGCCCCTGCTCTCTAGCTTCATAAGCCTGGCCAGGCCACTCACCCTCTCTAAGCCCCAGAAGTCCTTGCCTCTAATATACCTATTTCCCATGTGCACGGCATTTGGAAAAGGCCTGGCAGGCACAAGCTCTCAAGGTCTCAGTCCAGCATAAGAATATCTACCTTGTAGAATTACTGTGAGGTTTAAGTGAGATAATATATTTAAAGTGCTGGCATATAGTAGTAATCAGTAAATGCTGAATACTGTCGTAATTTCTTAAAGAATAATAGAAACCAGTGGCAATTAATTTTAAATTCATTTGAACACTATGGAACTCTGGATGGAATATCTTTACACAACACATATCTCAGAATTAAGAAGATAAAGTGTTTTTGAAGGAAGTTATATGCGAAGAAGGAACTATGGAAACTGAAGAGCACTTAAAAGTAGACAGAAAACCTTAGAAAACAGTATGAGATATAATAAAAAATGGGTTCAGGGTGGGGCCCATGGCCTGCTCTAGGTGAATGGGATTTAACTCCATAAAGGATGGTACATACTGAGAACTAAGAAGAGTCTAGGTCCGAGGCTGAAATAACAAAAAGAGAATAGCATCATCAGGATGCTAGAATGAAAAGAACAAGACCCATGATACTGTCTGGAAAGATGAAATAGCAACAAGGAATTTTCTTTCTCTTTAAAAAAAGTATTTAATTTATTCATATTATTATTTTAATTTGACCAGAGAGAGAGAGACACAGAGAGAAAGAGGAAAAGTGAGAAAGCAAGTCACCAGGTCAGGGACTCGAACCATGGTTGGCCATGTGGGAATCCTTAACCACCGTACCACCTGCCAGCCCAGTGACAAGAATTTTCTAAGGCAGGAATAGTGACTGAGACATTGCCAGATGCCTGTGACTTAGGCCACTTGATTCTCTGAGATACTAAGAGAAATATCTAATTCTTTCAAAGCCTAGAGAGACAAGAAACTAAGGATAGTCTTTTAACCTCAAATTGTAGAGAAGAAATCAGGACTAAACAGAAAGAATTCATCTAAGAGTCAGAACCAAAGCAAAGGTCAGCCAAGTAGCTGGGAGCTGCCTATCAGAAGGTAGACTAAAGTGTGGAAAGAGCAAGGACTGTTCATTACTGTAACCTGCTCTAGGTGAATGGGATTTAACTCCATAAATTGAAGCACACCTAACTGAGCCATGTGAACATCACTTCTATAGATTATCTTCAGACCATTCTCATCAAATACTCATTGAGTACCTATTAGTGTGTGCCTTGAAAATGCCCATAAAATGCAGAAAAGCCCATCCTTAGATGAGAGCAGGGGTGGGCAGGGGTGATAAAGATAAACTTTGGCCATTTAGGGAATAAAACAGGGTGTTCTGCTCCATTTTGACAAATAATGGCCTATGTGGTGCTCTTGTACTTCTCTGGGATTATGGAGAGAAAAACTTTTCCCATGGTTTTGGTGGGGAAAAACAGAGGTAAAAATAACAACAAAAAACTTAAGAAGGAAATGATCATGCCACTATCATTTCTGTATTTTTAAAAATTATTTTTGAATCTCAAATACACATATAATATATATAATTATATATAATATTTATTACATAGTATATATTTATATTATGTTTCCTCATCATTTCCCTATCTTCTATAGTGTAAAATCCCATTGTCTCATTGGTAACCTACTCTCCCACCTGTTCCCAGTCTTAGTCACACTTACAGACAGTACAGTCAAAAGCAATCACAGAGCATGGATGAGTCTACTTCTGAGCTCAGACATGATTTGCAGGTGGTCCTGTGTTCAACAGTTCTTCTGAAGGAAGCTCTATGTAGTGATTCCCGAAGGAAGCAAAATTACCTACCAGCACATTCCTCCAGGGAACACAGGGAGGTCTCCAAGGATATTCCAGGGCAGCCAGGTCTGGAGGGGAAGGAAGTGAGACACACTCGGCGACGGTCTCTGACACCATCCCCACATGTGGTGCTACACTGGCTCCATGGCTGCCACAGTCCCCAAGTTTCTGCAAGGACATAAGTCATGCTTTTAATGCTAGTTCATTTGAGAATCAGTATTTAACTGTACCCAAATGAAGCAGCAAAATTCAAATCTCAGGCCTTGAAAAGTCAGAAAGTAAAAACATTTTCAGAGATGTAGAAAGCTGAAAATAAAATAATCTAACTTAAAATAATCTACAAAACCTTAACCCCCTTAGAACCCACCAGACAGCCATGGTCACAAGGCAACCAACTAGGATGCAATATGAAGGACAGGTGCCTCCAAAGAAAGATGGGGTGCAATATTTGTTTTCTAGGACAAATACCAGGCTGTATATATATTAGTGAGAAATAATTTATCTAAAAAAATGTAAGAAATTACTAAAAGCCTACTGTAAACTAGTGTAGAATATAATCCCTAGGAGGCACACACATAAGCAGAAATTTGTACCTCTTTCCAAGCTCTTCTCCATGGATATCATCAAATGTGGGAAAAAAAACAAAAAAACAAAAAAAACAAGACCAGGTGCAAGACCAGACACAGCCTCCCTAATGGTGGAGGGCTGAGGAGGAAAGAGGCAGCTCTGTGGAAAAGACAGAAAACATCACCCATATTTTTATATTTTTATCTTTATCTTCTCCACTAATCAAAAACCTCAACCACTGGGGAAAAGGTACTCAACCACAGGGGAAAAGGTAGCAAACCTTGTCACTCTAAGAACAGCAACTGAGACCAACTTTTAGGAAATAGAAAAAGAAAAACTCCTTCATCCTCAGGGAGAAGCTGAAAATATCCTGGGCCTGGACTATTAAAAATGTTCTACTATTAGAGAACCAAGATCATCAAGATGGTCCCATTCTCAAGACTCAAGGATGTAACACGTGATTAAAACTGAGACTGAACCAGTACATAAGATGCTCTATCCCCACATTAGGCTAGCATGTTCCAAATATCAAATAACAACAGTCTATTGCTAAGGGAGAGGCAAGAACAACAGGTTGAAAAAAAAAGTTTGGTATACAGGCTCAAAACTAAAACTGAGGATGGAATAAAAGCATGGAGAAAAGCCACATGGCCATGCAATGCCTTTCCCAAACACAAAATAACAGAAACATTTTAAATCAGTGATGCACTGAGGGTTGTGATAGCAACAGAAAAACAGACACAACTCAATCCCTTACTACATTAATCCAACAATCCCATTACAGGCCTAGCAAAACCAGAGGTATGTCTACTTCCAGACATATATGTTGTTTGCCTCCATGTCTACAGGTGTAAACAAGATGTCCAGATTTCAACAACAACAACAACAAAAAGACAATAGAGAAGCAAGAAAAAATAACCCAAACTGGGGTCAGCATGTGGCATGGTGGTTAAAGATGCTAGACTCCCACATGACTGATAATAGTTCAAGTCCCGGACCTGGAGGCTAGCTTTCTCACTTTCTCGCGCTCTCTCACTGTGTCTTGCTCTCAATAAATTAAAATATAACAATAATGATAAACAAAATAAAGGAAATGACTCTTTAAAAATTTTTTTTAAAAAATAACTCAAACTATCAAGAAACAAAGTAATCACAAGAACAAGACTCAGATATGACCCAGATATTAGAATTACCAGAGAGTGAATTTAAAATAACTCTGATTTTTTTTTTGAGAGGTTTTTGCTATAGGACATGTACACTCACCAGAGAGAGAGCGAGAAACCGCTACCCCTCCCCCCTGCCCCAAGGGGGATAGTCGTTCCACAGCCCCTTCTCCTCCATTCTCCTCTTAGGATTTTGGGCATGCATGTACAAGTGTCTGGCATGAATTTCAAGTCTCTGAGTCCAAGACTCAATTGCAGTCAACCACGTGGAAATCCAGTGCTTTAACCACTATGCCACCCACTGGCCCCTGATATGTTAAAGATTTTACTGGTAAAGGTGAATAATATGCATAAACAGAAGGAAGATTTCATCAGAGAGTTGTAATTGAAAATGCCCATAAAATGCAGAAAAGCCCATCCTTAGATGAGAGCAGGGGTGGGCAGGGGTGATAAAGATAAACTTTGGCCATTTAGGGAATAAAACAGGGTGTTCTGCTCCATTTTGACAAATAATGGCCTATGTGGTGCTCTTGTACTTCTCTGGGATTATGGAGAGAAAAACTTTTCCCATGGTTTTGGTGGGGAAAAACAGAGGTAAAAATAACAACAAAAAACTTAAGAAGGAAATGATCATGCCACTATCATTTCTGTATTTTTAAAAATTATTTTTGAATCTCAAATACACATATAATATATATAATTATATATAATATTTATTACATAGTATCTATTTATATTATGTTTCCTCATCATTTCCCTATCTTCTATAGTGTAAAATCCCATTGTCTCATTGGTAACCTACTCTCCCACCTGTTCCCAGTCTTAGTCACACTTACAGACAGTACAGTCAAAAGCAATCACAGAGCATGGATGAGTCTACTTCTGAGCTCAGACATGATTTGCAGGTGGTCCTGTGTTCAACAGTTCTTCTGAAGGAAGCTCTATGTAGTGATTCCCGAAGGAAGCAAAATTACCTACCAGCACATTCCTCCAGGGAACACAGGGAGGTCTCCAAGGATATTCCAGGGCAGCCAGGTCTGGAGGGGAAGGAAGTGAGACACACTCGGCGACGGTCTCTGACACCATCCCCACATGTGGTGCTACACTGGCTCCATGGCTGCCACAGTCCCCAAGTTTCTGCAAGGACATAAGTCATGCTTTTAATGCTAGTTCATTTGAGAATCAGTATTTAACTGTACCCAAATGAAGCAGCAAAATTCAAATCTCAGGCCTTGAAAAGTCAGAAAGTAAAAACATTTTCAGAGATGTAGAAAGCTGAAAATAAAATAATCTAACTTAAAATAATCTACAAAACCTTAACCCCCTTAGAACCCACCAGACAGCCATGGTCACAAGGCAACCAACTAGGATGCAATATGAAGGACAGGTGCCTCCAAAGAAAGATGGGGTGCAATATTTGTTTTCTAGGACAAATACCAGGCTGTATATATATTAGTGAGAAATAATTTATCTAAAAAAATGTAAGAAATTACTAAAAGCCTACTGTAAACTAGTGTAGAATATAATCCCTAGGAGGCACACACATAAGCAGAAATTTGTACCTCTTTCCAAGCTCTTCTCCATGGATATCATCAAATGTGGGAAAAAAAACAAAAAAACAAAAAAAACAAGACCAGGTGCAAGACCAGACACAGCCTCCCTAATGGTGGAGGGCTGAGGAGGAAAGAGGCAGCTCTGTGGAAAAGACAGAAAACATCACCCATATTTTTATATTTTTATCTTTATCTTCTCCACTAATCAAAAACCTCAACCACTGGGGAAAAGGTACTCAACCACAGGGGAAAAGGTAGCAAACCTTGTCACTCTAAGAACAGCAACTGAGACCAACTTTTAGGAAATAGAAAAAGAAAAACTCCTTCATCCTCAGGGAGAAGCTGAAAATATCCTGGGCCTGGACTATTAAAAATGTTCTACTATTAGAGAACCAAGATCATCAAGATGGTCCCATTCTCAAGACTCAAGGATGTAACACGTGATTAAAACTGAGACTGAACCAGTACATAAGATGCTCTATCCCCACATTAGGCTAGCATGTTCCAAATATCAAATAACAACAGTCTATTGCTAAGGGAGAGGCAAGAACAACAGGTTGAAAAAAAAAGTTTGGTATACAGGCTCAAAACTAAAACTGAGGATGGAATAAAAGCATGGAGAAAAGCCACATGGCCATGCAATGCCTTTCCCAAACACAAAATAACAGAAACATTTTAAATCAGTGATGCACTGAGGGTTGTGATAGCAACAGAAAAACAGACACAACTCAATCCCTTACTACATTAATCCAACAATCCCATTACAGGCCTAGCAAAACCAGAGGTATGTCTACTTCCAGACATATATGTTGTTTGCCTCCATGTCTACAGGTGTAAACAAGATGTCCAGATTTCAACAACAACAACAACAAAAAGACAATAGAGAAGCAAGAAAAAATAACCCAAACTGGGGTCAGCATGTGGCATGGTGGTTAAAGATGCTAGACTCCCACATGACTGATAATAGTTCAAGTCCCGGACCTGGAGGCTAGCTTTCTCACTTTCTCGCGCTCTCTCACTGTGTCTTGCTCTCAATAAATTAAAATATAACAATAATGATAAATAAAATAAAGGAAATGACTCTTTAAAAAATTTTTTTTAAAAATAACTCAAACTATCAAGAAACAAAGTAGACTCTTTAAAAATTTTTTTTAAAAAATAACTCAAACTATCAAGAAACAAAGTAATCACAAGAACAAGACTCAGATATGACCCAGATATTAGAATTACCAGAGAGTGAATTTAAAATAACTCTGATTTTTTTTTTGAGAGGTTTTTGCTATAGGACATGTACACTCACCAGAGAGAGAGCGAGAAACCGCTACCCCTCCCCCCTGCCCCAAGGGGGATAGTCGTTCCACAGCCCCTTCTCCTCCATTCTCCTCTTAGGATTTTGGGCATGCATGTACAAGTGTCTGGCATGAATTTCAAGTCTCTGAGTCCAAGACTCAATTGCAGTCAACCACGTGGAAATCCAGTGCTTTAACCACTATGCCACCCACTGGCCCCTGATATGTTAAAGATTTTACTGGTAAAGGTGAATAATATGCATAAACAGAAGGAAGATTTCATCAGAGAGTTGTAAACTAAAAAGTCAAATGAAGGGCCAGTCAGGGGACATGGTGGTTAAGGTGGCTGGCTCCCACTTGGCTGACTACAGTTCAAGTCCTAGAGCTGGTGGCTTAAAAATTACTCTGGGCGCACATGCATGTGTGCCCAAAATCCTCAAAGAAGAATGTAGAAGGAATTTCAGTGTGGCCACCTCCGCAGGGGTGATTTCTCACTTTCCCTCTCTGTGTCTCTCTACAGTTAGTGCATGTACCTTATAGCAAAACAAACAAACAAACAAACAAAGACCTTTAAAAAAGAAAGTTGAGGACCAGCAGTTGGCACAATGGCTATGTCGCTGGACTCCCATGTAGTCGACCGCGGTTTGAATCCCAAACCTGGTGGTTTAAACTCAGACCGGGCGCATGTGTGTGCGTGCCCAAGATCCCAAGAAGAGAATGTTAGAGAAGGGACTGTGGTGTGGCCATCCCCCCCTGGGGTGGTGGTGGTGGTGATTTCTCACTTCCTGTCTCTCTCTTTCTCTCTGTCTTTCTGGCGAGTGCACATGCCCTATAGCAAAAATCTGTCAAAAAAAAATTTTTTTTAAAGTCAAATGGGAATGTTATAATTTAAAACATGATAGATCAACCAGTTGCATGGTGCTTAAGGTAGCTGGATCCCACATGGTCTACTGTGAGGTTCAAGTCCCAGACACGGTAACTTGAAAAATATTCAAGTATGCATTTATATCTAAAATCCGAAAAGGAGGGAGAAATTAAAGAGAAGGAATTGCAGTATGATCGTCCGCCATGCTTTCTCACTTTCTCTCTCTCTCTCTCTCTCTCTCTTCAATGAGTATTTGTGCCCTCATGGAAATTAAAAACAAACAAATTAAAAGCAAACAAACTAGATAACAGAGATGAAGAATGCTTTACACAGGTTGATCTATAGACTTGACATACCTGAGGGAAGAAACAGTGAATCTGAATGTAGGTCAATCAAAAAAATCCTTAAACTAAAAGACAAAGAAGAAAAAACAGTGAATAAGATAGAAGACTCAGAGTTGTGGGTCAATAGCAAATAGTCTTTTATAAATGTAACTGGTCCCCAAGGAGGAAAAGAAAGAATGAAACAGAACTAATTGAAGAAATAATGTTCAAGAACTCTCTAAAATTAATGAAAGACAGCAAAACACAGATCCAAAATTATCAGAAAACACCAAGCAGGATAAATACAAACAGGAAATTTAAATACACTATACTCAAACTTCAATTAGAAAAATCTTAAAGGTGGAGATAGATACCAAACTTGAGCTATGAAATATTGCTATCCTTGACTAAAAAATGAAGATTTTACTGCTGAGACTTCTCCCTCCAGATTCATTTCTAGTGGGAAAGGCAAACACCCAGACCCATCCTGAGATGGATACCAAACTTGAGATGTGAAATACTGCTTTCTTTGACTAAAAATGAAGATTTTCTGCTGAGACTTCTCCCTCCAGATTCATTTCTAGTGGCCTCTATGCACTAAGTGTCTAGACAGGTTCAACTGAACAGGATTGAATAGGATTCTAACATTTGAATACAATTAGGGTCAGAATATTCCTCTATTCCCACTGAATCTGATTCACAAAGAGTGAAAACAGAACAGAAGAGAGATTGCTGATCACTTCCTCCTGCATGCTTCTGAACTCTCAGATTCAACTTCAAGAATTAGGAAGAAACGCACCATCCATCAGATGACTAGAAATCACTGCAGGGTCACAAGAAATATGGGAAAGCAAGAAAATACTTCTCCTCCAAAAGAAAAGAATAACTCCTCTACATCCTCAGACAGTACAATGAAACTCATGGAAACATCTGATAAAAAATTTAGAATATTCATAGTGACAAAGCTAACAGAGATCGAAGAGAAGTGAGACAATGAACTGTAGAAGAGGCAGGAGAAAGAAGTTGACGATTTCCAGGAGGTGAGGAAATTCTTGCAAGATCTAAAAGAGGAAATGCACACTAAAAAAAAGAATCAAATGGACCTGTTAGAGATGAAGGCTATAATACAGGAGTCAGAACCTCCTTTGAAAGTATTAAAAGCAGACTAGAACATACAGAAAATAGAATCTCTGATGTAGAAGATAGAATCTCAGGTCTAGAAAATTTCACCACAGAGACTGAGAAAATTAGCCCCAAAAATGAGAATAATATATGAGAAATGTATTAGATGCCATCGAATGTCCAAACATCTGGAAAAACTGGAATCCCAGAAGGCAAAGGGACTTATAAGGGCATTGATCATCTATTCTATGAACTCCTGGAAGAAAACTTTCCAAACCTAGAGAGGCATTCAAAGATCCAGTCCCAAGAAATACAAAGGACCCCAAATAGAATCAACCCAAGAAGATCTTCTCCAAGACACATTATAGCCAGGTTGACCAAAACCACAGACAAAAACAAGATACTAAGATTGGCAAGAGAAAAACGGCAAGTTACCTACAAAGGATATCCCCATCAGGCTAACAGTGGACCTCTCATCAGAAACAATGTGAGCGAGGAAAGAATGGAAAAATATATTCAAAGTGTTAAGGGAAAAACGATTTCAACCAAAAATACTGTACCTGGCAAGATTATCCTTAATATGGACAGAAAAGACAAGAACATTGTCAGATAAACAAAACCTGAAAGAATTTACCAACACTGGATCTCCAAGAAATTCTCTCAAGGGAGTGGTATACCAGGAAAATTGAATACAGACACACAGAAATAAGAGTTCAAAACCTAAGAAAGTGGCAAACTTAATCGTAGGCACAAGTCTGGAGTTCAATATTATATCCTAGAATTTAATCAGGAAAATTGAACCAGAACAGAAGATAAAAGTACATGAGACTGATAGGTTCATGCACCTACCATTT